CCATTTCTCATCTCAAGCTGTGGCCTCCTCACTTTTTAATTTAGAAACTACTGCTTGTCTTTAACTTTACCTTTCCCTCAAATTGCACCAAATCCTTTGAATTCTTGCTTAGGTTACCGACACGTGTGTCATGTAGACATTCCAGGAAGACTCATCTAATTCTGAGGCGCTCTGTCAGTTTCAGCGGCTGGTGCTGTACTTGGGAACGGGGCAGGCAGTGGAACAGCATTCTAAAAGCAGCTCCCTAATGTAACTGTTGTTGTTACTACTAAAGGAAAACTTGTCTATAACGGATAGGTAGAATCAATATATCAGAATAAAATAAATCAGAATGGCTGGGGGCGGGGCAGAGGGAGCAGGAAGCCAGTCTCCCACTTAGCTGTCCTCTCTGTTATCTGCCATGGCAGCCTCTCGGGTTCCTATTCCTTAGTTATCTTGGGCTAATACAGGATTGTGGTAATTTTTCGCTTTCCATTATTTATTTACATTTTCACTTAATAAACCAAGTGTTAAGGCCTCAACGTTGAATAATTTTATAACACTCAAATCTCTCCCTTGCATGGCTGACACAGCTTAGATCCACTAGGATGACTTCCCGACCTTTAAACTGGTTAAATGCTCTGTCAACTGAGAAGCAAGAATTCCAACACAATCACCATTTACTGTGAAAATTGTAAACGCTAAACAATATTCTTTACGTAAATAGAAGTCTCATGTTAAAACAACGAACCATCCCTAAGGCCTGAATGTGCATGGTCACCACAAGGCTCATTCTCTTTCCTGGACATTCTGAGATGCTCTAACAAGACTGTTAATTTTGTCTGCTGAAAAGTTATGCTAATCTCTGAACTCCTGTGATCTCAATAGGAATCCTTCTTGAAACACCTTGAGATCTTAGAATATAGTAACTTCAAAAGTCACTAAAATGCCTATTATAAAAGCAAAGAGATGTGATTCTCAGAGAAGCCCATACCCAAGTTTTAGAGGTTTTACTTCTGAGTATCTTTCTATTTTTTTAACTTTTGTATTTAAATTTTGTACTTAAATTTTACTTTTTTACTTAAATCTTGTACTTAAATTAAAACACATTTATTTAACCCCCAAGCCTGATTAGTCCTTAAATTCTTCTCTATTCTAAAACCATATGTCCTAGTTTGAATAGAGTGGAGGTCCCTAAAAGTCTTCAGGGAATCCTCCTGTGCTGGGGCTGACAGTGTGGAGCTGTGCCTCCCCACATACCACCAGTGACGCTAATTTTAAAACTGTATTTGTGATGCTAAAAATCAAACTTACTGGAATGAAAAATGATCAGTATAGAGATACACCGCATCTGTTGTGATGTTATTAAAATATTATAGAATACTCCCCAAATTTTCTAATAGTAAACTAACTCCTATGACTAAAGTCTTAAAAAGATTTCTAAAGCCACATATTCATATCTTCTGTAGTAGTCACCTGGGGTACTAAAGAAACAATAGTTCTCAGGTTTACTAAAGAAACAGTGAGACAAAGGTGCAAGAGGACGGGAAAAAATAAAAGTAATCCATTTACTATGAATTTATCATTTTACCTAATAATCCGTATAGAAGTGTTTGTATTTCATGTAAAGACTTTCCTCTTCACAACAGAGGGAGATATTGACTAATGAGGATAGAATAACGCAGATATAGAATCAAAGACCCAATAGAATATAGATAAATAATTCTGAAACATTGCCCATAAACATAATGTGATGTTTCACCTCCTGCACCCACCACTGAAGTTTAGCAAAGAACTATAATTTAATTCAACCAGCAACAAATCACATGGAATATGGTCAGTGTAAAAGTCTGTCTTCATATATAATTTTCTTATACATCACAAAATGCTGCTTTACTCCAAAGGCCATGATGTATAGATATGTTCTGCCTATGTAACTTTGCCCTTATTGCCTGAATAAACATTCTCATTCCTAAGCCAACTCTGGTCTTATCTTCTATACATTTTCCACAATGCCTAAATTAATCAATTTCTCATTTTTTTTATTTTTATTTGCTTCTTGTCATTTTGTTATTTAAGGTTAACAGATAATCCATCAAATGTAAAATATTTACAAGTCAATGTATTCTTAATATAATATATATATATATATTAGTTTTTTCATTATGTAGTATAAATTAGTCTTTTGTTTTTGAGGCAGTTATGTTGTTCAGTCTCCATTGAACTAGCTATGTAGCCAAGGCTGGCTTTGAACTGCTGATCCTTCCTCCACCACCTTCTGATTACTAGGATGATAATATGCACTGCCACATTCAACTAACACTACAAACTTTTCATAAAATATGACTATGTGCTAAACTCTGAAAACTGGCTGAGAATGGACTGGAAAAGGTGCACACCTTTACTTTCCCAAAGCCTGTTTCTGGTCAAATACTTCCTCCAAGGGTACACCTCCTAAATCTCCTGAATAGTACCAACAACCATGGCGTATATATTCAATGACTCAAGATGATGAGGAACACTATTCATTCAAACTGAATCAAACAAGGACACAGAGAGACCATTAAACTAGCAATGTACGGTGGTTTGAATAAGAATGACACCTACAGATTTACACGTTTGAATGCTTAGTCATCAGAGAGTGATGCTGTATGAGAGGGATTAGGAGGAGTGGTCTTGTTCAAGTAACTGTCACTAGGGATGGGCTGTGAGCTCTTGGGTTCTCTTCCTCATGTTTATGGCTCCAGACATAGGACTCTCAGCGACTTCCCTGGCACCATGTCTGCCCATGTGTCACCATGCTCTCCAACATGATGAGAAGGAACTAAATGTCTGAATCTGTAAGCAAGCTCCAGTTAAATGTGCTTTGTTCGTAAGAGTTGCTGTGATTATCTAGCTAGGCCCACAGCCTACTGGGAAGCCAGCTAAAACTACATTCAGGGCAGGTCTTCTAAGTTAATCCTTTCTGTAAATTTCTCAGAAGCACACAGAAGTATACTTTATAAATTACCTAGATATATCTTAAACTCAATTAAATTGAGCAGATTCACAACTCTATAAAATGTTATTCATAAAAATAAAACAAAAGTATTTCAGTACTTCCTCATTTTAAAAAGGACATTCTGGTACATTTGATTTCTGAAATACTTAAGAATATTAGACTAGAATAGACATTAAGCGAGAATATTATACAATGAATTTTGCTTCTTGTATTAATGAATTACACAGATAATAAAAATAGTTCTTGAAATGCATTCTACTGTTTGTTTCTATTGAAATGAAATCATACTTTACATAGTGTTTTAAAAAACATTAACAAAAAGAGATTTAAGACTGATCCCAACAAAGAAGTTTTGTAAGTCTATAAAAGAATCTATTTTCTTCAAAACTTCATACAAATTCAAACATTCAAATATTCTTGCTACACTTGACATTTCAACTGTAAATATCTCTGAATGGGTTTTAAAAGAAAATATTGAAGATGAGTGGTTATATGTTTGTGGCGATTAAACCTAATAATATGTGCCTTAAAATGCTGACAAAATATTATGAATTTAATATAACAGAAAAGTGTTATTTTGCAATTTTATTTTATCACATTCTACAAGTATTAGGCTATATTTTTTGGATTTCATATTAGTCCACTTTTTAAATTAAATGGCCGCTTTATGTAAGCTTATAAAAACTTTTAAATTATTTAGACAAATTTATCCCCTCAATAAGCAAATTTTCAATGGCTAAGATTCTTGTGACAGCTATATAAATAATTTGAAAAGCTAAGAAAGTTCATTAACACTCCATTAGGCAACCATAATTCCTATTGATTCTTTTTATTACTCCTTTCCAACTCTTAAGCTATGCCAACATGGTAATCTACTTTTACTATTATTGTACTTGAGAAGTGTATCTTCCAATAGGCAGCACCCTTAAGGCACTGATTACATAAAAAACTTTAAAAAGCAAAAAAACATTAAATAGTTTTATTTGATACTGATAGAGATTAATATAATAACTATATGTTTTCATCTTTGATCCTAGACACAAAAAATAGTAAATGTAGACGATACCCTCCATTTTGTCTTTTAGAGGCACAATGGAATTATATGAATGGATTGAGTGCTAATCATGATTCAAACCAAATAATTTCTTTTATACAGCCTTATAGTGGACTTTAAAGACAAAGGAATGTAACTATTTTTTCAATATTATGTTCAAATTTATCCTCATCTTAAACTCATTTGTGAGTCTGAAAAAATTCCAAAGATTGAATTAGAATGTTAATTAATTTTCTTAGAATTAGTAGGAATTAATGTATTTCTACTAATGTATTAATGTAACATTGTAACATACCACGTTGCTCCAAAGTTTGCCACTTTTAATGGGACAAATTCAGAGAATTCTTCCAAACACAGCAACCAACAAGAATGATTTTTTTTTTTAGGTAGTGAAAACTTTACTGAAGGTCATGAAAGAAAACCTCTTTGCGAATGAGGTTAAAAGGTTTCCGAAACAAACCAGGCTCTGTCTTTGTGTTTCTGTATATGAAGGTCACACCATTGCTCTGAGCTCTACTAAACACTTTAATCTCTTTCAGTCTACGAATATACGTTACACATGATAATTTTCTATGTGCTAGTAAAGTCACAAACATCTTGTTTGTGTTTTGATCATCATTATAGTCTCTTGGGCAAATTTGCTAGCTATTTTGAATTAATGAAAGTCCAAAATCCTTTTCTTGGCAGGGTCTAATCAAGCAGCCCTCGCTTGTCTCATAGTTGTAATTTTCCTGAACACCATCGCATGTGCTAGAATTCTGTATTTGAGCCATGATGCTCCTGTGTTTGTTTTTCTTGTCAAGAAAAAACTGTTAACCTCTCCTTTTAAATAAAGGTTAATCTTAGAAAGAATGTTGGAAAAATAAAGAAAAACCATGGTTTAGAAACTAAGGTGAGATACAGGACTAGAGAAAGCACTTTACAACAACGCTTCCGGAGTCAATAGAATTTCTTAATTGTGCTTACCTGTCTCTATCTGAAGAGTAATGGTCATCCATGACTCGGTGTCTGTCCATTCTGCTAATTGTATTGTAATGGCCAGTAGCACGTGTCCCTCGAAGCCCCTGTTCCACATTCCTACTAAGACAACAAGATCATTAAATATCTTACGAATCTATAGCAATTCTACATAAAATATATAACAACTATTTTTTGCATAAGTATTATACTATATTATACATAATGTAGTTTAATATATATACAATGTTATATTGATGGTAAAAATTTTATTTGAAAATTAACAGCTAAATGAGGGTCTGGCTTTTCTTACAGATAGAAAAAGGGTCAATTTCAGAGACTATTTTTAAGGATTAGATAAACAATATCATACGTCACTGAGGGGCCACACCGAGGTCTCTAGCACTGATAATCAGTGATAGAAGATACACTAGAGGAACAGATTGATGAGCAGATAAGTCCAATGCTGCACATGCTTTTTCTGTGGACCATAGGGATGGTGGGACTGATTACTTATGCAGGGGTGGACCTGAGGTTGAACCTCAGAAAACAGCTATCAGACCTTTCCAGTTCTGATCATCATCTATGGGAGCACTCTAGCCTGCACTCCACCTTTATAACTTACTAGGATTGTAGTTTTCTAATCATTACCTTACCTAAGTCTTTCCCTCATAAACACTGAGGATGGTAGTCCTTTGAAAACTTACAAAATGAAAAGTAAAAATGTCATGCAAGCAATACAGTAGGCTTCCACCTTTGCAAACCATCCTCTTTCATTAGTTTGCATGTCATGTTTATATACAGAGGAATATTTAAATATATAAGCAAATATGATATACTTATATATCCATAATGATTTAATCAATACATATTAAATTAAATCTAAGTATATTACATATCTTTTCTATTTAATATGTCTCCTGAACTATCTATCATGTGTAATAAATATATTCTGTTCATGGTTTACATTGCATGTATGTACTCTTTGGGACTTACGTTTATCAGAGACTTCGAATATTATATGACCTAGAGCAACAGATGTGTGTCAACTTTCTTCCCACTACTCATGTATTATTTTTAGATTTTTAATGAATTTTTTATAATTTACAAATAACATATGATTCATTTGATTCCAAATGGATTTGCTTAATATTTACACACAATTTAAAGCCAGTTTTCTTTTTTTTTTCAATGAACATTTGTTCCTTTTATTCACAAAACATAAGACTTACCCCTTTGTTGAATCCCTTTTCTTTATGATTTTACACAAAGGATCTTGAGATATTATCAATTATAAAACATGTCGAAAAGAAAACATCTTTAAAATTTACAAACAGGTCCTTTATACAAGAGTTCTCTATAAAATCCATCGATGTACAAAGACATTGGATTGCACGTAAGGCATGTTCAGTTGTCATTAGAATTATTTTTGTTTTGTTGGAGACTTTTCTCTCCTCCAGTCCTGACTTCTCTTTGATTCTCTAGAATGTTCAGGGTATCTGCTGAGTTTTTCCCAGCGTCTCTCAGCCCTAAAGCCAGTTTTCTTAACTATTTTGAATTCTTAGATCAAATAACACAGAGATTTTAAGAACTAATAAAAAATAACCTATATCACAGCTTATTTCCATTGCAATGACATCTTATTTTCTCCCAAAAGAATATTTTAAGGAATAATGTATGTTTAGAGATTATTATGGTAATTTATGTTAAGTTCATCCTAAGTACCATGCTCCAAGCAAAACTGACATACTCCCTTACCTTTGAGGAGGAGGGACACTAGGCGACCATGACCTAGTCCTTCCTATAACATCTACTCGATGAGGAGACCCTGATGGTGAGCAATGGTTTGATGACATGACTTGTTCTGGCACGGATAATGTGGAGCTTTGAAGATCTCGGCCATTGTGTCGATAATCTAAGAGTAAAAAATAAAATAATGATAATTATCTATACACTAAGTTTTTTGTATTACAGTGAAAACAAAGTATTGCTGAGGCTGGAATACTTTTAATAAATGTAAATTATAACAAAACCAGTATAGTATGTTTCAAAAATTACAAACACAAAACATGGAAATGGTAGAAGATTTAGTATTTGGGTAGTTATTATGTTCACTGTACTGGATACTGGAAAAATTTAATCTCTCTTTAAAAACAGAACCAAGATTGTTCTAAAAATATTTCATTTCTAGACACTAAATGTTTCTTAACTGCTGTTAATATTCACAGTTGCCAAGTTTGTAAGATGCTTCATAGTGTGCACTTATACTTTAAATAAGATAAACACTAAACAACACTCCGTGTCATTTTTATGCATTCTATGTCATTTTAAGCCTGGACACCACAGTAGTCTGAAAACAAGATCCAGCGACTTGACATCCTTACACAAGTGAATATCCAAAAAAGAACAGGCATTTGGACAGAGCAAAACAAAAAGGAAACTCTACACGTCAGAAAAGCAGCAGTTCTATGTGGAGAAACCATGGGAAAGGAAAGGAGCAGAGTTCCTTGCCAGCCACTGTATATATGTAAAGTACATAAGTAACGGAGAAACATGAGGAAGGCTGAACAGGAGAAGTGACATTGCTGCTAGCAAAGTCACTGTCATCACGTTCTCTGCAGCTGCTGGTAATCAGTCATTTGCTCAACTAAGATAACTGATGGGCACTTTCTAAGAGGCATTGCAACAATGTGTACTTTCCACATCACCTAGATGTTCTGAAGGTAGCTCAGAAGTAGCACATGTTCTTTGTATGAATAAGACCCTAGGCTCATTCCTAGTATACATCCATCTTAAATGATTATGAACAGACATAACTGAGAAAAACCATTTCATTTCTATGTAATTTCTTCTTAGAAAGATACTGTTCTGGAGTCTGTATGCCCTGGAACAGAGTAAAAGATTAAGATAGACAGAAATATCTGAAGACGTATGCAAGGAAATAAAGAGGAATTACTGAAAGGGAAGAAGCTAAATTACGAATGCTATCTGCTGCCAGGCTCCAACCTCTGACACTGCCGTGAGCTGCTATGACTTTCAGCAATGCGGACACACCTTTTAATATTTTAAAGACAATGCCTAGCTTGGGGCTATGAACAGAAAAATTCGAGGTGCTTATCTAGAGAGAGTATCTATTTATCTAAGTACCATCTGCCTTGGAGAAGAATGTCTGGGAATTCTAAGCAACTGATACTGGTAGTACCTAGTAATGGCACGTTCAAAATGATAACAATCATATAAAGAGAAAAGTTTAAGAATTTTGTATTGTAAGTTACATCATCAGTGAAGTATTATTTGAAAGTGGATACAAAGAAGTTACACACACACACACACACACACGTGTGTGTATGTATGTATGTATGTAAAAATCAACAAAATTAAATAAAGAAAGAGATATTCTACATGTACAAAACAGGAAAAGTCAATATTAGGAAGACATCAGGTTTTACCAACTGCATCTGTACATTCAATGCAATTATTAGAAGTCTTAACAGTTTGTAGGTATTGACAAGTTGGTTTTAAAGCTTTTATAGTGATGCAAAAAGCAGAGACTGCTACAGAGTACTGATTATCAGAGTTGGAAGACTGACTGTAGGAAAATTCAATACATGCTATAATTTGTAACAATCAGAACATTATATTATTGCCCAGAGAATAAAGCACACAGTGGAACCGAGAAATAGCTATGAAGTAAACCAACATAAAAATATTCAACTGATCTTTACCAAAGACCAAAGAAAACTAATAGAATAGACTGAAGACCGTTCTTTCATCCAATTGAGATACAACTCCTGAGCTTTATCACAAAAGAAAGTGAATCGAAGATGTTAGAGACGTGGCATGAGGATGGTGGGAGACTCTGGAGCCTTGGACTAGAAAATGAATCAAATGCTGTAAGCAGCATTTAACTAAGCATTCTGGTAGAAACCAAGAAGTAACTTCGACAGCTGAGTCCTAGATCATCAAGCTTCAGGTGGTGATAACAAGCCTGCTAGCATCTGACCTAGAGGCAATTCCTGTGATACTTGACAAAGAACTAGCTGTACCCTATATATGTCCTGAGAACATTCCCAAGGCTAAATTAAAAAGTGATGGTCTAATTTCTTTAGTGAAGATAATTTTAAGATAGCATAACATGGTGTCTGTGTAATGGTTGCCATTGATTACTATTACTGTGGGGCTGTAGGCAGGGCTACAATGAAAAGAGAGCAGAAAGAAAATTTAAGATGTAAAGTTGGGGAGGGGGACCACTAGAAAACTTAGTGTTCCTTTATAAGCAGTGTGCTTGTAAAAGAGGCTATAACTGTTAAGATTTGTGCCGTTAAAGACATAGCTCCTGCTCTGCATTAAAAAGTTAGGAAAGGGCCTCAGCCTCAGATCTGACTGGGTCATGTGAGTATGACACGGCCCTGGTATTCTAAAAAGGGCATGCAAATACTGGAAGAAGTGAGTCAGGCTTTGAGCAGAAGCAAGAGGATAGTGGGCTTGATTATTGCTGGTATAGCAGCTTTAATTACATTAATAGCTAGCACCACTGCTTCTGCTATTGCTTTGACACAAGCAGTTAAAACAGCTACTTTTGTTAACCATTTAGCAAAAAATGTTACTAATGTTCTGAGTATTTTAGGCATTTGTTGCTTTTTATGATACTATTCAAATTATTGGAGAGGAGGTTCAAAGTTTAAGAGAAAGAAGCCATCTCGAGTGTCACACTAAATACCAATGGATTTTTGTCGTTTCTAAAATTTTACAATGATAGTCATTATAATTGGGAAAAAGTTCAAAGACACTTGCTGGATATTTGGCATAATTCTAACACCTCTCTGGATATTCTAACCTTGCATACTGAGATTATGAATTTAAAGAATGCTACCCTGCTGAGCTTTGATGCTACAGATATTGCTGATAAAATTATTCATAGCCTGAGGTAAATATTTTCATCTTGATCAAGCTTCAAGAATGGCATATATAGCTTGATCATGCTAGCCCTTCTTGTCCTGAGAATACTTTTATTCCTGCCTATTGTAATAAAACTTGCCTTAATATGTTGGGGGCCAAAATACATGGTTTGAAACTAAAAATGGATCTCCAGAAACTAAAAATGGATCTCCAGACAGAAACAGGCTGGCAGCCAAGGACGGGAAAATTCTGCACATAGCCTTACCAACCTAAGACATAATAACATTGCTTTGGATAATGCATATTCCATGATGGGTAAGGAAGGCATTCTTGTCAGAACAACCTAAGACAGGTGCAGTCTTGTTCTTGAAATAAAAAAAAAAAAGGGAGATGTGGAGAGCTTTTGGGGGCTGCTTCTAGAAACTTGGTAAGAATTTGACATCTAGCCAGAACAAAAGAAATAGGCTCAGATTAAGAACATTTACATTTGAGTTAATGCAAAACTCAGAGCAAGCTCAGCTGAGGCACGTGTGGCAGTCCTTTTGTCTTGGTCATCCTGACTAGCCCCTAGAAAGTTGTTTATGGGATTTTGTTTATTTCCTTGCTTGTTTCTTGACCCAGAAATGATCTTATCATTTTGCATGTACTTAAAGTGGTATAAAAGCAGACTGGAAAAAAAAAATAAATCCACTTCAGCCTCAGAACTGGCTGGGGTCAGGCTTAAAAAGAAAAAGTTAGGAAAGATGCTCATAGGGCAAGATGCCAGTTAAACCTCCACTTTTTAAAACGAAAAAGCTTAAAGGATTTCTTAATCCTAGAAAGCAGGTTCCTAATGTGATCCAAGGTAGCAAGGATTCATTCCATGGTATCAGCTAAACATACAGCACTAGCCACATGGGAACAAGAAAGAGGAACACTGAGGGACTCTCGGGTTTTCACTGTGGGTTCAGTTGCTGCTGACCAGGCAATGTATGACAGGGTCAGAATCCCTGCAAGGATGCTTGGGAGGTCAATGAGTAAAGCTCTGAAGGTGAAGTCTGGATAACAGTGGAGACTCAAAGGCGTTAGAGATGTCAGGGTCTTAAGATATCTGCCAAGAAAGGTGCATACATGACGGTTAGCTCTAATTGTCAATCTTACACAACAGAATATCAGAAAGGCACTAACAATAAAATCTCTTTTCTATTGAGCGTGCCTGTGGCCATGTCTGGGAAAAATTTTCTTGATTATGTAAAATGAGATGAAACAGCACTCTGACTGTAGGAGACACATTTTCCTGTACAGAGAACTGCCAAAGAATAAAGAAAGGATGCGAGGGTAATCCATACATTTCCTCTCTCTTCTTCAGCCTGGAGGTGACTAGTTGCTTCCGGTTCCCGCTGGCAATGATATACTGTAAACTGGAGACAGGAACTAAAACAAACCAGGTTCCATAAGTTGATTCTTTGGTCAGGATTTTTTTTTTAATCACAGTAATAGAAATAAAAAGACAGTGAAAAAAAATATATGTAAATAATATCTTCACCATGTAGTAATAAATATTTGAGGAGATGGATGTTTATCAATCTATACATAAAAAATGTATATATGCATTGCAACACCATGAATAACCTTATAAATATGCATCAGCTTTATATTAACATGTCAGTCCTAATGTTGAAGTCAATTAAATGAATAATTATTTTTTTATCTAAAGGAAGGAAGGAAGGAAGGAAGGAAGGAAGGAAGGAAGGAAGGAAGGCAGGCGATATGCCAAAAAACGACATTGGGATGAATGGATTCCATCATCTCAAAGGAACTGTTAGGTGAAAAATACCAATGTGCACAGATACCTAAAAGTGAGAAATAAAATTAGCGACAGGAGAAATAGCATATGAACATGAAAAAAACAGTAACGATATTGAAGAAAATCCACAGGAGAAATAACTGAAGTTGAATCTATACACCTTTACATAAAAAATGTAAAAACATTGCAAAATTATTAACAATTATATTGTTCATTTTTGATAAGAAATAAGTCAAAACATAGCAACTAAGTTTTTAAAAGTAGCTTATTGACTATGGAATGCTAATATTACTCTAAGAAAAATGATCAAAAAGTCATCAATCTCTGATGTAACTTGAACAGATTTTATAGATAAAAACCTGCATTTTTGTGTTGAACAAAGTTAACTGTAATTATGTGAATTATTAGGTTACATAAAGAAGAATAGAATAAATTATTATATAATATTAGGGATATACTACATATGAAGTTTCAATTATACAACTCTCCAATTTATCATAAATGCATTACTATTTAGTTGTTTTAAATAGAGAAATTATAACTATTTCTTACTCAGGACTGGCTTCTTTAAAGAACATTTACTCTAACACCTTGCACAGGATTTCCTAAACTCTTTAAGAACTTAGGTTGTCAAGATTTTCTTCAGGTTATTTTTTTGGAGATAAGAGGCAAACTTGTGTTCTTGTGTTTGTTTCTTTTGATGATGAACACTGATGAGTTAGGCTACCTTGTGCTGCTAGGAAGTGATTGATCCTCACCTGATACTACTCCCACGCCGTCCTCACAGTCATAGTCGGACACCTCGCTGTCACTTATTCTCTTCGACCCTAAAACATGTGACACAGAAAATAAACTTTTCACTTGTCCCAAAAGAAAGAAAGGAAGGAAGGAAGGAAGGAAGGAAGGAAGGAAGGAAGGAAGGAAGGTAGGTTGAGAACAGTATAACACTTGAGGATAGAGAAAGGATAGGAGCATCATCCCATGCTCACCAACATCAATTTACACAGACGTTTCATGAGGTTAGCATATAGATCACAAAGTGGTTAAAATTTACACCATTATACAGGAAACATGTAAGACAAAATTCTTAAATAAGCTAAAATCTGAAACTATATGAGCATAAAACATGTAATTCAATTCTATAGAAAAATAGCCGGCTATACCAGATGCTTTATACAAAGGCATTTCAACCCTGACAAACTTCAAAAACACAGAGATATGCCGCTTTACAAATCATTAACAGGTCACTTACTAATATGGACGACTGAGAAATTTGAAGTCTAGTTTTGATATACATGATCATAAAGAATTTCAGAAATGTAAATGTAAACGAGACCTTTTTTTTTTTTTTTTTAAATATCAAGACAAGGTTTCTCTGTGTAGCCCTGGCTGGCCTGGAACTTGCTCTGTACATCAGTTGGCCTTGAACTCACAGAGATTTGCCTGCCTCTGCCCACACCTATTCCTAGAAATTTTAATGTTAATTTCAATATAGAAAAACTACCATTAAGTTCAACAAAACAGAATTTCCATGTCGAAAAATGATCGTAGCTTTATACTTAACGATGAAATATACCACGCACAGAAATAAGCACTTAATTTTTAATGTTTATTTTTCACAAAATGTGTCTTGGGCTAGACACGTGCTATGCAACAGAATCTTTTATTGAAGTTCTTACTCTGTCTTGGTATCAGAAGACATTTAAGGATGGTAATAACAGTGTTGCAATCTCTCAGACCGACTTATTTTGTCTTTCATCAGACACTATATGCCTTTCACTGAGTACTAGTTTCAGAAAATACATGTTTTCCTATATAGTTCTAAAATAAATTAGATAGTACCTAATGTGTACAGCTTCTACAGCAGGGATTTATCAGGATGTTTTAGGAGTGCATGCAAATATCTTCACACTTCTGTCAGAAATTTTCAATATTTCCCCCAAGTTGCTTGCCTATCTGTTTTAGCTCATGCTCCTTTCCCTGAGGGGAAGCTGATGATGCTAACTACTGCAGTCCTCTCTCCTTGTAAAGGAGAGGGAGATCACACCTTGTTATTGTGCACTACGTAAAGTTTATCCCTATGTTACTCAAATGAGTTTTCTGCCCTCATATTTTCTTGCAATTTGGAAATGGCATTATACTGCTTATGGTAAGAATCTCCTGTCTGAAATCTGTGTAAACAATGATCATCATTTATTCTCTCCCTTGTCAATAAAAACTGAAAAAACCAATAGCTAAGCAATAGAGAGAACAGGGCAGGACTCCCACTGGCCAGGGAAGTAGGGAGAGAAAGAGAGGATTCAGCTACAAGGAAGGGAGAGAAACATCAAGGCAGAACACATCTAAAGCCCAGAGAGCTAGACCTATACTAAAATGAAAGCATCTCAGGGATTTTGGCAGGGAGGTAGCCAGATTAGCTTCCAAGATTAAAATAGATCAATGACTGCCCAGGTATTGTGTGGTAAAGCTTGATTAAATAAAACTGGGTCTCTCTGTGTCAATATTTGAAAACTAGCTAGGATAAAAAGTAGTATCTGTATTAATAATTTACTGTTACAAAATCTTTCCACAACTCATATCAGAAAGCTTCAATAGAAAGGATAGAAACTATTATGAGAATTACCTGACAAACTTCCAGCACACTGGTTAGAATGGGGTGTATAAGTGTAGAACATACATTTTAAATGGATTTTACCAAATAAATGAAAATATAGATGTGGCACTAATGGAGAAACTTAAGAAGCAAACTGTCTCCCAATTTATAACATATTTATTGTTGTACATAACCAACTATGAGGTTAATAATTGCTGTGACAGGTATATATTACAAGTTTTAAGGTTGTACTATCATCCAGGCGTTAGAACAAGAATGACAGCAGAAAAATATAAAGTCACATCAATCTTTGTAAGCTGTACTATGGCGTGTGTGTGTGTGTGTGTGTGTGTGTGTGTGTGTGTGTGTGTGTGTGTCTATGAACGCATGCGTGCACCTGGATCAAAGATGCATAAACTAAGTCTGGGATTGAAAGTCAGGTTCTCAAATTAAGTAGAAATACTAGTTTCTTTTATGTTTCCATATGAACCTTAAAGAGGTAAAATGTGCTGTAATTATGTGCACTATACTTGGATTTTGATTTTTGACAAACTGGTGAAGTCAAGATTTAGATTTAATTGGTGTATTGTTTGTATTAAAATTAATATTTTCAATGTCTCTTATGGATACTTGATCTTGGACAAAGAAACAAAAAATATACAGTGGAAAAAAAGAAAGAATCTTCAATAAATGTGCTGTTCTAGCTGGCAGTCGGTATGTAGAAAAATTAAAATAGATCCATATTTGTCACACTGCACAAAACTCAAATCCAGGTGGATCAAGGATCTCAAACTAAACACTGAATCTAATAGAAGAGAAAGTGGGAAAGAGCCTCAAACTCATTTTCTATCACAGGAGATAGAGGGTGGGAGGACCTATGAGGAAGAGAGGAGGGGGAGTGAAAAAGGGGTGCAGAATCAGGTATTGGAAGGAACAGGAGAGAAGTACAGAAGGTCAGGAAATTGAATAGAAATGTAGTAGTGGCGGCTGGGGAGCTGGAGGTAGCCACTAGAAAGTTCCAGAGGCCAGGGATGCAAGAGGCTCCCAGGACCCAACAGAAATGGCTTTAGCTGAACTATACAACAGAGGAGAGACAGAACCTGTAGATACCACCCCCAGTAGATAGGGATGGTCCCCAGTCGAGGGATAGGGGCACCCACACATCTCAAAATTTTTAAGCCCAGAAATGCTCCTGTCCAAAGGAAAGACAGGGACAAAACATTGAACAGAGACTGAAGGAAAGGCTGTCCAGAGACTGTTCCACCTAAGGATCCATCCCATTTGTAGACAACAAACCCCCACACTAATGCTGATGCCAAGAAGTGCTTGCTGACAGGAGCCTGGTATGGCTGTTCTCTAAGAGGTTCTACCAGCACCTGACCAAGACGGATGCAGATACTCACAGCCAACCATCGAGCTAAGCCTGAAAGGGACTCCAGTAGAAGAGCTAGGGGAAGGAATGATGGAGCTGAAGAGAATTGCAACCCCACAAGAAGAACAATATCAGCTAACAGGACCACCCAGAGCTCCCAGGGACTAAACCACCAACCAAGAGTATATATGGAGGGACCCATGGCTCCAGCTACATATGCAGCAGGGGATGGCCTTATCTGGCATCAGTGGGAGGGGAGGCCCTTGGTCCTGTGGAGGCTTGATGCCCCAGCGTAGGAGGATGCTGGAGCAGTGAGGGGGGAGTGGGTGAGTGAGTGGAAGAGCACCCATGTAGAGACAAAGGGGAGAGGGGAGAGGGGGGATGGGATGGGAGGTTTGTGGAGGAGTAACTGGGAAGGGGGATTTGAAATGTAAATGAATAATATGATTAATAAAAAATAGAAAAAAAAGAAAAAATAAACATTTTCTAACTATAAAAACAGGTTTTTGGAATTGTTCCCTGAAAACTCTGAAACTGTTGCTTTTCATAATTAAACCCCCATCTATTTTGACCTTAGTTTGCATATAAGATAGAGAAAACTTATTTTTTTTCCTATGGATAGCACATTTCTCAGCATTACTGATTTACTATTTTTTATTTCTCAATTATCTGTGATAGAAGCTGTGTCATAAATGAATCCATCCTACCTAAGAGGACATATTTGGTATTCTATATTTTCCCTTGCACAAACTATTCATAAATCAATAATTTACTCTATGACTAAACATCATATCATACGTTAATAAAGAAATCACTCCATAGTATTAGTAAAATTTATCTCATGTACATTTGCGTTTGCATATAAATTTTAGAACCACATAAAACATATGTTACAAAAGCATTCTATTGGGATTTCTAATTCAATTGTATTGAATCAATATATTGACTTAGGAGAAATTGAGATTACAATGTATTTGTAGTTATGAACATGACATTCAGGTTTCTTTATTGTTCTCCACATAAATTTTCATGATCTTGCCCTAAAGTTGGAGTTCATCAAGTGGTTAGACAGGCTGACCACCTTCTTCAACACTAGGGTTACAGGTGATCCTGAACTTGTCCCTGAAAGCCTCCTCCCTGAGGAATAGCTTTCATAGTACCAAAAGGTGCCACACAAATGTACAAAGAAAGAAAGCAACCAAGAGTCCTAAATAGCCAAGATACCCATAAACTACAGCAACGACCAGCAGGGCGTGATAATCCTAAGGGACAAGCAGTGGCACACACATCTGTATGTAACCAACAGCTCTCTAATTGGACTGAAGACCCACTGCAAAAAAAGAGAATTCTGGCCTGGAACTGGAAAGCTAATCAAGAACTTAGGGTGGGTAAAGTCAAGGATCATGGGAGAGAACCTACAGCAGCCACTTAACTAAACCAGCAGAATCTTTCACTACATTGGAAATATTTGTCCTTACATCTGCAGATACATCTAACCTTCACCTCTCATCAAGGAAATTGCTCTTTACAATCTACAAAGACTAGTAGAGAAAACCACAACAATCAAGAGTGGAGCTGTGGAGTCCAGTCCCAAAGGATGTATCTACAACATACTTCCTGAATCTAAGGGTCAGTCATTATTACAGAAGAGAAGGTGGGAAGATTATAAGAGCCAAGACAGGAGGTATGCCGTGAGATTGTCTCCTAGAAATGTAAGAAGCCACACCCTTGAATCTTCAAACAAGGATGCAGAATCATGACTTGCTCAAGGATGACACCAATAGGCATGCTAACACAGAAGCATGAGGCCTCAAAACTAGACAAAGAAAGAGGAGCAACTAAAGAATGCTGAGAGTAGGAGA